TGTAAGAATGTTCTCACCACCATCTGGCCCTCCTTGATCCTTTCCCTCAACATACATCTGTTCATCTTCAGGATTTTTGATAGGAAGGGAATTTGATACTTCTCCCAAATGCAGTAATTATATTTGGTAAAGAGGAGAGGGAAACTTACTTGATGCCAGTGACCAGGAATAGGTCAGCAACAGGGAGGAAAAATATATTTCGTCTTCAGATGGTGGTGCCATGGGGTGATATTGCCACAGGACTCTTTGCACTGAGAACATCTCCAGAAGTGATCCTAATTCCTCCTGGATACATCTCAGGCCCTTTCAAGGCTTCATCACTTCATTGCCAGGAGTCTCTCTCCCTGACATGCCCTGACCAAGAGCTTAAAGGCTCTGACCTTGGAGGAATGTTATTTTATGTCTTCCTTTCAGGACTTTCCTCTGGCTTTGGAACTGTGTTTAGGCTTCATCTGGCCCCATGATTTAGTTTCCCCCTTTGTGAGAGGATACCAATGCTGGCTCTATTGCTTGGAGCACTGGTATCTGTGTGGCTAGTGTAGGTGCCAGAGTCATCAATGCCACCATTGCTCATGATGCCAATGCCAAGATGGCCACTGCTGAGGCTGTTGGTGCAGAGGACTTCCTCAACGAAGTGGTCAGCATCAAAATCAGCTGCGCCAGCTTTGTCAGCACCCTTTTTGCCTTCTTTCCACTACCCAAGATCTGATATGTGTGGGAGTACTGGCCAATACTGGTTTATCTAGCCTCGTTCCAAAAATCACTTCTGGGTCCAAATTGACCTGCCTGGACTGCTCTAGCAAATGTAGTTTGAGGTGAGCGTCTCGAGGTGTGAGGATCCTGGCAGAGAAAGTCTTCCACACAGTGTATCTGTCCAGAATGTGGCTCTCCCCTAGGCAGAAAAGGCATCAACTTGTATCTGTCTTTGATGGGTATCGCCTGTTGCAGGACTGAGGGTTTGGAGTTTGCTGTGAGGTGTTGCAGTTGACACAAAGTGCCTTGTCCCACTGGACAGGGAGGCAAATGGGACGGGGTGGGGAGGGGGAAGATCACCAATCTTTATTTTATTTTGGTGGTTTAGAGTGTGAAGGTAAGAGTGCACAAATTTCATTAAAGTGAACAGTTTTTAGAGTCTCTAATGAGATCAGTGGGTGGGACACTCACTGGGTTCTGTCTTGCTTGCCAGAGACAGTTAGAAGGATCTGAGGGAGGGTGCCAGCTGTCCAGGAGCCTGATGAGGCACAGAATGAATGCATAGCCCCAAGAGACAGTGCTATTCAAAATAATCCAATCTTGCGCCCACGGGGCAGATGCTCCTAAAGTGGGATCTGCAGTGATGTACTTGAAGAACACTTTTGATCCTAGTCAAGAAATACCCTTAGTGATGCTGCAATTTGGTTCTCCAGAGTCTGTGATGAATCCCGCATGGCCCAAAAGGTTTGTGATACCCTAACTGCTGGAGGGCAAACACCCTTGACTGAGGGCAAGGAGGCTCCTCAGAGTGATTACTAATTAGCATTAGTTCACTCTTTCCTGGATTTAGTTTTGGTCTTCAAACATTCCAGTGTTCCTCTGACTTAGTGCCTGTGAGTGATTGGAAGCACTGTGTGAGATAGATGAAAAGGAAATATAGAATTGAATGTCATCAGCATATTGCTGGCATTACAATCCATTTAGTTTCAGTCTCTGCACTATAGGCTATTCATCAATGTTAAATACCAGTGGTGATAGTATGTAGCAGTCCAGTAACAGCAAAAGCCACCTCTTATATCAATCTGCCAGAAACATCTGTCAGTCAGTCAATGCACAATGAATTTCTAACTAATTATACCTGAAGGATATAAAAGGAAGTGTGTCACTTTTTGGTGGTTTTATTTAAATCAATAATGGGGAGGGGGTCTCAAGCCCAACTTCAGTTCATGAAAGCAACTTTTAGAGATATGAGTCAGATAAGGGCACTGCCTCATTCCTTTGTTCTTCCTCAGCAAAGCAGCATAAATAAAATGAAACACTGTTAAGAGAAGGCTAGGATTGCACAGCTAAGACTTACTGCCAGGAAATACCACATTACAATTGCAAGCACTACTTTAACTTGGTCTTCTTCTTTGTTTCCATCTACTCTAACGTTCTGTTTCCAACAGTGGCCAATATCAAATTTTTCAGAGGGAAGTTTTAAAAATCCATAATAGACAAATAGAGTAGGTCCACAACCAGCATCCATTTTAGTACTAAAAAAGAGATACAGTAATATAACCCTAACATGTACAGATCAAATGACAGTTTTAACTCTGATTTGCCTGCCATTATTAAGTTTAAATGAAACCACCCTTTATTTATGCATGATTACATTTTCTGCTTAGACAGTTATGCTTTATAGGCCAAAATCTCAGGTGAGTTCACCTCTGTTACTTTCACTCAGTAATATGCCTGGCTGTTCTCTTCTGTTCTTGTGAGTAGATAGGGTATAAGCAGCATGGCTTTTTGTAAATTTCAGTACCTTAACTGGTGGGGTGTTGGGGGTGAGAGGAGACAGTAGAAAAATGCATCAGGTGTGAGTGAGCAAGATTGCCCTCTAATGGCTAGTCTACAGAGAGAATAAAAACCCTGCTGTTATCAAAAGCTAAAGCCCTTTAATTCAAGTGCAGAGGCCTGGTAGAGGTTTTTGGAGTTGATTAATCATGGTTTTTGCACTGGCCTCACATGTGGATGCCTGTGCAAGAGAGAGAGATTTATATAGAAATTGTGTCTTATTGGCAACACATGGATTCCTTACACAAATCCTGATTTTGGTGGTACTGGATTGTGGGTAATCCAGCATAACACAGAAACTATGATTTATTTATTTTTAAGTTATATAAACTGATTTTGGGGAAGCTGATAAGGTTAGTTCTTTCTAAACCGGTAAAAGTCCTATTACAGTATGTACAGATTTCCGTCAAATCCACTAGCTGTAGCTGCCTCTTTATGGGCATCTCACTAGTGCTGGTGGTATGCTAATAGGGAAGCAGATATTGGTGCATTTTGATCACTATTAGAATAAAAACAAAAAATCATTATTCAATCACCTGGACCTACGTGAGCCAAGGTACACTTCCAAACATTCAAATACAAAAGAGTAAACACTTCCATAAGCATAAGAGTCAAAGGTCTAATAATTTTGAAGTAGTTAACTATGATACTGAATTTGTTTGGTTATCTTACTTCTTAATATATCCAGGCCTCCATATAGGAACCAACTATTTTAAAACAGACCAATTTTAAGAAGACAACTCTATAACGAGTCAATTTTCTTCCCTGTGTTCCAGGGCAGAAGCGCTGGAACACAAATCCACTATACTAGCAAGCCAGCCCTCTTCTCTTCCACTCTAAATTTAAAATAATAAAACAAAAGGAACTTTTTAAATTGTGTTTTAATCTTTTATTTGTAATGTCTTTAAAGTAGCAGACAATATGGGTGGACAGACAAAATACTGAATTAACTTAATTTTTAAAATCAAAAAGTATGTATGCAAAATCTAAAAATAAGGATTTCCCCAGTTTCAGGGCACTTCAGCTAATCCTTTCTCTTCAATAGATTTAACCTACAGGGGCAGAAAATTACTGAAATACTAGTGGTAGTATTATTAATGCAAACATATGCACACAGGCAGGGGAATGGGACATAATAGAAGACCACAGTCCAGTGCTACTATTATGCACTAATCCATGCTACTAGCAGTCAGCACAAGTATAATAGAAATACCATGATTTTAGATAGCCATATATAGGTACATAAATATTCACACATACATACACCCATACATAATGTGTGTATACACACACACACCAAGGTAAGTTAACTATACCTATATACATGTACATGTGTGTACATGTACATCTCGTGGAGTTTTATATATTTGAAACATGTTTTCCTTTTTTATTAAAACCACACACCTCTGTTATTTAGCATTAAAAATTCCCAGAAACAAAGATCTACTAGCATTTTTACAGGAAAAAGCATTTTCTTTGGCTCACTTTATATAACAAAGCTCTTTTGGAATCCAGTTACATAGAATTTTTAAAAAGAAAAGGAGTACTGGTGGCACCTTAGAGACTAACCAGTTTATTTGAGCATAAGCTTTTATGAAGTGAGCTGTAGTTCACGAAAGCTTATGCTCAATTAAATTGGTTAGTCTCTAAGGTGCCACGAGTACTCCTTTTCTTTTTGCGAATACAGACTAACACGGCTGCTACTCTGAAACATAGGATTTTTAAGCAGTTTCATGGTACTGCAGGATACAAGGGGATATGCCAGTAAGTACGATTAGTTTTATAACGTTGTAAGCTGAACAGAATGTCTTGTTACCACAAACACTAACTCTGTCACTAGATTCTCAGGCTGAACTGTAAATCATTAGGATTATTACGTGTAGGAGAACACTATCCATTAATGAACTAAGGTCTGAAAAGAGTATTTGACCCTGTGAGGTGCTAACTCTTGAGGTACTGAATGCTCTCTCCTGAATGGGAGTTGGAGGTATTATGTAATTCACAGAAGGGGTTTAGCACCTTGCAAGATCAAGCCTGGACTAAGAAACATATTTTGAAACAGAAAAAGCATAGCAGCTGGGGTGATCCAACTGAAGGATTGACATAGTAGTTATAAAGTATACAATTGCCAGTATCAAAGAACACAGTGAGAAGACAGACAGTAGAGACCCAAGAATAATACCAGATCATTCTAAAAAGTAGAAGATAAAAATATATTTTAGAGAAAACAATACCAAGGACAATAAACATGCACATAAAGGCCCCAGAGCTACATTTATCAAAATTGATGAGAAGACTCCATTTGGAGCATGACAGGCCCTATGTAGTCAGGAAAGGTAATAGAAATACGAAGGATGTGTATCTTAAAGAGGAAATGTGACAAAATACACAGACAGGAAAAAGCACAGAATAGAAAACTGGCGCTAATAGCTACACACAAACACTTTTATATCAGTATTACAGCTCCCTACCAGTCTGGAATCGTATGCCAGTCTGTGAATATTCCACCTGTACACTGAGCACCACATTCAATGAGATGGCCTGCAAGACTGGAAAACAAAAAACACTCCAATGAATAACTACGTTGAAAAACAAGCTGCCACTTATCCACAAATATAACAGTGCAGTATAATCAGGGTTAAATAGGACAGAAAGGAACATGCTGGACACCTCCTTCATAGCAATTTGATGCAGTTTTATATATCAAGGCCAAGATTTTCAAAAATGACTAGTGATTCTGAGTACTCAGCTTGGGGCTCTCAGGCTCCCTGCTGCACAGCTGGGAGCCTGGCAGACCTGGGAACCCCCAGCTAAAACCAGAGCTCCCAGGGTTTTTAGGGACCCTGCTTCATGACAAGGAATCCACTGGGGACTTTCCAGGAGTTGGGCAGCTGGCTGACCTATTTTGTTTGTAATAGTCAAACCAAAAGGTTTCAATTTTTCCAAAACAAGAACTTTTCAAAACATCTGTTCTGCAGGAAATTCTGATATTTCAAGTTTTCATACCAAATCAGGCCAAAAACTTTTTCAAAAAGTGTCAGAATTTTCTGCAGAACAGACATTCTGAGTTTTGACCAGCCCTGTTGATGGATCCACTGGGATTAGCTGAGTATCACACTTTCATACATTTCAAAGCCAAAAAAGGGATCATTCTGATCATCTAGTCTGACCTCTTGTCTACCTCAGGCCATAGAACTTTACCCAGTAATACCTGCACCCAGCCCAGTTACTTTATTGTCTATAAAAAGAAAAGGAGTACTTGTGGCACCTTAGAGACTAACCAATTTATTTGAGCATGAGCTTTCGTGAGCTACAGCTCACCATGAGCTTTCGTGAGCTACAGCTCAAGTGAGCTGTAGCTCACGAAAGCTCATGCTCAAATAAATTGGTTAGTCTCTAAGGTGCCACAAGTACTCCTTTTCTTTTTGCGAATACAGACTAACACGGCTGTTACTCTGAAACCTGTCTTTATTGTCTATAACACAAGGTTTCACTCCTTTTCTCACAAAACAGGCACAAACCATCTGTATAGTTTCTTAAGCATGTTTTTAATTTTCCTCATTCTTTTATTAAAATTTAGGTTCCAAAGCTTCTCAGAATGTTTAAAGAGCTCATTTAATAAACTGTAGCATCCAATCAAGTGTATTCAACAAAATGGTCACCCATGTATTCGGTGTGCTGAAGCTCTTTAATAGCTCACTTAATTTTATTTTAAAAATCAAGACAATTTCATAACATTTTTAATAGTTATATCATTTACCTTCCAGCTGCTAATAAGTCAAACTCATCCCTGTTCCAGCCAAACTAAAAAAAATACAAATACATTATGTACACACACACAGGCTTCAAGAGATAAAATTTAAGTGGATGCTCTGAGTAATAAAGCATTGGTAGCAGCCCAATCTTCCTAGAAAATCGGAAGGGATTTTTGTTTGTTTTAATTGTATAGTGCATTAATAAATTAAAATTAACATAATACAAGCAATGAAATATTCAGCATTACTCATTTTACTATTTAACAGAGAAGACAAGCAATATATGAAAAACCACATATAGGCCACTCGGGAGGTAATAATGGCAACTTTTCGTGAGAGAAACTAAATAATTTTTCTCTCACGTATTTAAGTAGGTTATGAATAGAACAACTACTAATGACCTGAACTAAAAAAGGAAAAGTTTAGCTAGACATTCTAAAGCATGCAGTCAAAAAAGAATCAGGTTTTAAAATAAACTATGTATGAATCTTATATTCATATATACACCTACTAATATTTTAATATGCACCAAAAAGAAAAAAAAGATGTTAACATTCCAAGGTGTGTGGTCATAAAAGTATTCTGTATATATAAGTGCTCAAAAAACACCACACATCCTGCCTTGTGTAATTTCTGTAGCTAGATTAATCTGAGAAATGTCACATTAAAATTAAACTTTAAAAAAAATGTGTTTAGCCCTAGAAAACAGACCAGCAGAAGAGTAGAAAAAACTGCTCACCAGCATTTTATAAACAAAACAAAAAAGCACTTGTGCCACCTTGTGGCAAAGGACATTTTCCATCTCACAAGGTTATGTGCAACAATTTGAACGTAGAAAAGATTAAGGGTGAAATCATGGCCCCATTTAAATCAACACCAAAACTCACATTGACTTTAATGGGGCCGTGATTTCACCCAGTGGCTCTATTTTTTTGTACTTCAAATAGAACATTATTTGAACAATAAATCCCAGATGGAACAAGAGAGCTTGCCACACCCAGATACCTCTTGAATGCCCCCCACGGCCAGAGATCAATCTCTGGCTCCCTGCCTGTGTCTCCCCCTCTTCCAGTCCCCGCAATAATTCACTCAGTCCAAAGTTAACTAAGTCATTCCCCTTCTGGGGGTACAATTTATTTAGTCCTCTCAACACATACTGGTCCTCCAGACCCCAACCGCAATTCATTGTCTCTCCCCTCTTAGGTACGGAGTTCCCAGCCCTTCTTTCCAGAGCTGGGTCCCAATTCTTTATCGCTCTCCCAGCAAGTAGGAATTTGGCCCTCCAGGTCCCAAACCCAATTCAATCTCTCTCTTCCCCCCGCCAGGTAGGGAGTTGAGTTCCAAAGCTGAGTCCTAATTCACATTCACTCCCAGGCTTTACCTGGCTGGAGTTCAGCCTCCTAGGTCAGGCTACTAAATTCTGTTGGTATTAGGGTCTTTCCTATAGGAGAAGCCTTTCTCACTCCTTACAGTCTCTCTACAATTACCTTAGCTTCCACTTTCACTGCAACCACCTGCTGCCCTTTATAGGGAATTACCTGATCCAACTCAGGTGTGCCTCTTTAGTAATCAGGGTTGGCTAGCCCCATGCCCTCTAGGCCTTAAGGGGGGCCTAAAGGGACCATTTTAACATATGTATTAAATGAAACTGGACAAATGTCATGTGCCTTATGGCGAATTAATATGAATGTCAAACGTCAAAGAAAAGGCCAAAAGCTACATGATCTCATTATTTTTATTAAAATGTAGAAACTAAATTAAAAAGAAAAGTACTTGACAATGATTACTAACCGTTCATTCATATCTATTCACAATAGTACGAAAAGAGGGTTAAGTCCCAGTTATGAAAAACTGACTTATACTTACAGAATGAATGAGTGGTCCTAATACAATGCCACTGTCAACACATCTACCAGTCACAACAATATCAGCTCCAAGGTCAAGAGCCCTGCTTATTGGTCTTGCTCTGACATAACAAAAAACATTTTTTGTGTATTTAATTCACACTTTTAAAATAACTATTTTTCAAATTTATTTTAAAAATTAAATCTATGCCAGAGGTATCACGCACACATCCTTTATGATATTAACTTAAAAACACCCATTCTAACTATCTAAATATGTTCATTATATAAAGGATCATTCATTAGAAACACAGGGCAAACTAATAAAACTAGCCACCTAAATTGTGCAGCCAAAGTGACCTTCACACACATTAAGAGGTATGTGTTATCTGTGCATTCCATTTTTTATTAATAACAATAATATTTGATCTTCAGATTTCAAAGTGTTTTACATCGGACAGCAAGTATTATTTCACAGAGGGGAAAATTACAAAGGGCAACAAAAGGGCAACAAAAATTATTAGCAAAAAGAAAAAGAGTACTTGTGGCACCTTAGAGACTAACCAATTTATTTGAGCATAAGCTTTCGTGAGCTAGTGAGCTGTAGCTCACGAAAGCTTATGCTCAAATAAATTGGTTAGTCTCTAAGGTGCCACAAGTATTCCTTTTCTTTTTGCGAATACAGACTAACACGGCTGTTACTCTGAAACCAAAAATTATTAGGGTTACGGAACAGCTTCCGTATGAGGAGAGATTAAAAAGACTGGGACTGTTCAGTTTAGAAAAGAGATGACTAAAGGGGGATATGGTAGAGATCTATAAAATCATGAATGGTGTGGAGAAAGTGAATAGGGAAATGTTGTTTACCCCTTTATATAACACAAGAAATAGCAGTCATGAATTAAATTAATAGACAGTAGGTTTAAAACAAACACAAGGAAGTATTCCACACAATGCACAGTTCACCAGCAGAACTCACTGCCAGGGGATGTTGTGAAGGCCAAAAGTATCACTGGGTCAAAAAAAAAATTTGATACGTTCATGTAGGATAGGTCCATCAATAGCTATTAGCCAAGATGATCAGGGAGACAACCCCATGCTCTAGGTCCCTCTAAACCTCCAACTGCCAGACTCTGGATGACAGGGGACAGATCACTCAATAAATTGCCCTGTGATGTTCATTCCCTCTGAAGCATCTGGCACTGGCCACTGTCAGAAGACAGGATACTGGGACCAGTGTGACCACTTTTTGTTGTTATATTCTGCTGCCTCACGTATAGCTCATTGTAACTTTTCTTTTTTATATATTGAGTAAACAAGCCAAGAGCAATTTCAAAAGAAAATACTGACTGTCAAACTAAGAGAGCTCTCTTTCAACATTGTTGTTCCATCTAGAAAAATATGTATGCTGCATTAAAAATACTTACTTATCTTTCCTTGAATACTTGAAGATTTTCCTAGACAGTAAAATGTGCAGTGGTGTAGTCTTCATACAAGTATGTGGAAACCGTTTACTTAAAGAGACCAAAAGAAAACTCCACTTTCACACAGCAAGAATGTGGATTTTTGCAGTAAGAAAATGTTTGAGAAGTTGAACAATTAGCTATTTTTGTTTGGGAGTTTTTTTTTTTTTAAAAAAAAAAACATGTAATGACTTTTGGAGGCCTATGTGAAAGAAACGGGAGGACTCCCTGTGCTCTTCACTGTGGGCAGGTAGCTATTTTTAAAAATTACATACACTGGACAGACCTTTGGGAAGTCACAGCAAAGAGGATGAGTGAGATGGAAACTATTCTTATCCACAGAAGCTGTCCCTACGGAACAGGGTGAAAGCATAATAATGGGGCTATGTGGGGAATACTGCATTGCTTCTGCTTATGTTGTACCTGGTATGTTAGGAGATCACTATATATAGTATGGGCTAGAACTCTGGCAGCTTTCATCCGCAGTAAATTTACAACAAAAAGCTTACAATATATTTGTATTCTTATCTGATTATGCTATGTAGCATCATATATTTTAAGGCCAGAAGTGACCATTATGATCATCTAGTCCAGGGGCAGGCAATAATTTTCGCAGGGGGGCCACTCCACGAATTTTGGTAAGTCGTCACAGGCCCCACATTTCTACTATATTAATGGAGGGGATGCGGGATCTGGGAGGGAGTTTGGATGCAGGAGGGAGCTCCAGGCCAGTGCAGAGTGTTGGGGTGCACGACAGGGTGAAGGGTGTGGGCTCTGCGAGGGAGTTTGGTGCAGGAGGGGATTCCGGGCTGGGGCAGGGGAGTGGGTGCAGGGTCTGGGAGGGAGTTCGGGTGCAGGAGGGGGTTCTGACCTGGGGCAGGGGGTTGGGGTGCGGGAAGGGGTACAAGGTGCAGGCTCTGGCTGGGAGTCGCTTACCACAGGTGGCTCCCGGCCAGCAGTGTAGCAGAGCTCAGGTAGGCTGCCTGCCTGCCATAGCCCCAGGCCGCTCCCGGAAGTGGCTGCGGCTGGCTGCTGCTGGCACATCTCTGCACGCCCCTTGTGGGGAGAGGGACAGCGGGTCTCCGTGTGCTGCCCGTGCCTGCATGCACCGCCCCTGCAGCTCCCATTGGCCAGTTTCAGGACCAAGGGGAGCTATGAGGATGGTGTTGGGGGCAGGGGCAGCGCACGGAGCTGCCTTCCCCTCCCTCCCGCCACAGGCATGCAGAGACATGCCAACAGCAGCTGGACGCTTCTGGGAGCTGCGTGGGGCCATGGCAGGCAGGCAGCCTGCCTGAGCACCCTGCTGCTCTGCAGGACTTTTAGCAGCCCGGACTCAGAGATCGCAAGGGGGCAGAGGAGGCCGGACAGAAATGTTAGTCAAGGCAGGCTGGGCAGAAACGTTAGACGGGCCAGATCCATCCCACGGGCTCTATTTTGCCCAACCCTGATCTAGTCTGACCTCCTGTATAAAATAGGTCACACAGTTTCTCCCAGTGATCCCTGCATCAAGCCAACAACTTATGGCTGAGCTAAAACATATCTTATGTTCTCTGCAAACAAAAGACTTTGGACTGCCAAAAATCAAAGAGAGAAGAGTTACAAAAGTAGTATTTTGAAAAAGTAAAGAGAACCAAAGACATTTAGTCTTTTAAGAATCATATGCCAACACATTCATTGTCTGCAAGTAAACCAAGCATGTGTGTATACTTATAACTGGACCGCTATTAAAAAATTCTGAACAGTCAAATAGTGATATAGAATAGGAATGATGGGCCAGACCACCCCGTTCCACAGAAAAACCTGCAGAAGCGGGACAAGTGGAAGAAAACTCTTGAAAGTTCCTCTTCTGAAGTTTTCTCTGAACCTTTCCCCCAGGAGGAAAGAACACTTATGTTCCCCATGGGACAGTCAGGAAGTTTGGTTACCAGAATCCTCAGATCCATAAAGGTTCTGGAGGGCAGGGCCACCTACGCAGAGACTCCTGGACAGCCCAGCTTCATCAGGAGTTTCACAGCAAGGAGAGGCGCCATAGAAAAGCTAATGCAGCCTAAGATTATATTACTTTTTTTCCCACAGATTCCAATGCTTTTGGTTAGGGATGATGCCTTCAGAGCAGCTGCCCCCTCTCCCACCACCCCCGCCACCTGTTCCATGCAAGGAGAGGAGCCTCTGCATATGGATCTCAAGGGATTGTTGGTATTGTTTAAAATTAAACTGAACAAAATTTTTTTGGCATGAAATAAAAGCTGAGGACGAATGGTGAGAGATGTGATGCCAAAGAGCTACTACAGGAAAATCACAGTGCTAAATATTTATGAGACAGAAAGAAAATAAATCTGATTTTGCAGGCTGCCCAACACCATTAATTCACTACATTATTATTATTTTACTTGCAAACCAAAACAAACAATCTTGATGCAATCAATGGAATGTGTATGACATCAACATTTTTAAAACAACATACAAAACATACAACTTTTTAAAATATCTCACCCAAGATATGCATTCATGCTGTGAATATTCTCCGGAAATGGCTTCCCACTCTCCATATCTGTGATACCAGCTCCTTTTAGGTTGTCTTTCTGTTAAAACATCCAGGTCTATGAATATTTTACAGTATTAAATATCAGACAACAGCAAATATCCACCTTTTAGTAACTCTAGGCAAAATGGTATTGTTAAAATACCTAACAAAAAGTATTTAACAAACACTGTCCAATAAGAGGCTGAGTTAGTCTTTTTTCACTAGAGCTTTTGTGAAATCAGAGGAAACAAAGTCTTCAGCTTCAAAGATAATAAACCTACTCAATTTATCAACTCATTGTAAGTTACAGTTTCTTCAGATGGCCTTAACACACTTAAAATTGAACACAGCCAAACCCTTTCCACAGAAATATCTGCTGTAATCACAGTAGTTGAAAGGTCAGAAAATGAAGCTAGGGTTGAGGCTCAGGCCTCACCGCACTGGTTTCAGTAGCGCAATATCAATTCAATCTTAAAGTGGAGAGCTGACAGTTCATTAATTGTGGAAAAACTTCTCTGGGGTCATATGCAATATTTGGATCCGGATTACCTATCTAAACAACCTTTCTGAGAACCTAACGTCTAATCCTACACAGCTTTCAACATTACAGGTGCCGGCAGGCCTTCTGTATTGACCCAGTTAATAAATTGGATTTTAGTGGCTTGATCTTTGACCTTTTCTCTTCAGTCCATCCCTATTTCTCATTACCAAAGCTAAGACAGACAGACACTACTCTAATTGATTAGCAACTTAGCATCTGACAAAAATCTTCACTTCTGCTACATTTCTTTTTATTAAGTGTAATATTGGAACTTTACATACACTAAAGTTTTATCACATTGCATTTATCAATTTAAAATGTTTAGTGTCAACAATACAGATCATTATCATTTGAGCCCTGCAAATCTGCAGATATCTGCTTTATATCAGAGGACTGTGTTCGCAAATCGTGGATCGGATACAGATACAAATTTTGAATCCACACAGGGCTCTAATTATCATCTACATAACTATGTGTCACTCATTTGACTACTGGACTAACAAATTAGAGAATCTAAATGCTGACTGCAGATCAGGAATGTCTAAACTGTGGTCATGGGATGATTAGATCAGCAACATACCAAAGGTGAATTCCTGCCCCCCCCCCACTGACAAAACCCCCACTGACTTCAGTAGGGTCAGGATTTCACCCCGGAAGTCAAAGGGCTACACCTAATTTGTAAACAATGGAGCAGATTCCAGCTTTCTTCACATTTAATGGCATGCTAGGAATTGTAGTGTCGGTTGGCCATGCCCCTGTATTAATAATTTGAGAGGGTGCAGACCAATCTGTGACACTTTGAAGTACGTTTGAACAACCGTGTGTCCATCACTTTGAAGTACGTTTGAACAACCGTGTGTCCATCCCTGTCTAAAGTTATATCAGTTTTCCCATCAAGTGTAACATACAATGCACTGAAATATCTAACAATTTTCTGCTAGACTTCCTGAGTTAAAGGGAAAATAATCACATCTGCAAAAAATACTATATGAAACACAGCATTTTCCATTCTAATTCTCTTTGTTTTTGCATAGGCGGTCTACATATAGAGGAAAAATGCAGCCTCTTAGTACAATATTACCTAGATTTCAAATGTCTTAAGGCACCCAAACAGCAAACCTACCAACCATAAACTACCTTAAACCAAATCACAATAAGTTACCTACTAAAGAAACCAGCTAGTACTTTATAAGCTACAGTAGAACCTCCAAGCCCTGGTCTACACTAGGACTTTAGGTCAAATTTAGCAGCATTAAATGGATGTAAACCTGCACCCGTCCACACGATGAAGCCCTTTATTTCGACTTAAAGGGCTTTTAAAATCAATTTCCTTACTCCACCCCTGACAAGTGGATTAGCGCTTAAATCGGCCTTGCCGGCTCGAATTTGGGGTCCTGTGGACACAATTCGACGGTATTGGCCTCCAGGAGCTATCCCAGAGTGCTCCATTGTGACCGCTCTGGACAGCACTCTCAACTCAGATGCACTGGCCAGGTAGACAGGAAAAGAACTGCGAACTTTTGAATCTCATTTCCTGTTTGGCCAGCGTGGCAAGCTGCAGGTGACCATGCAGAGCTCATCAGCAGAGGTGACCATGGTGGAGTCCCAGAATCGCAAAAGAGCTCCAGCATGGACCGAACGGGAGGTACGGGATCTGATCGCTGTATGGGGAGAGGAATCCGTGCTATCAGAACTCCGTTCCAGTTTTCGAAATGCCAAAACCTTTGTCAAAATCTCCCAGGGCATGAAGGACAGAGGCCATAACAGGGACCTGAAGCAGTGCCGCGTGAAACTGAAGGAGCTGAGGCAAACCTACCAGAAAAGCAGAGAGGCGAACGGCCGCTCCGGGTCAGAGCCCCAAACATGCCGCTTCTATGATGAGCTGCATGCCATTTTAGGGGATTCAGCCACCACTACCCCAGCCGTGTTGTTTGACTCCTTCAATGGAGATGGAGGCAATACGGAAACAGGTTTTGGGGACGAAGAAGATGATGATGATGATGAGGTTGTAGACAGCTCACAGCAAGCAAGCGGAGAAACCGGTTTTCCCGACAGCCAGGAACTGTTTCTCACCCTGGACCTGGAGCCAGTACCCCCCGAACCCACCCAAGGCTGCCTCCTGGACCCAGCAGGTGGAGAAGGGACCTCCGGTGAGTGTACCTTTTAAAATACTATACATGGTTTAAAAGCAAGCATGTGAAAGGATTACTTTGCCCTGGCATTAGCGGCTCTCCTGGATGTACTCCCAAAGCCTTTGCAAAAGGTTTCTGCGGAGGGCAGCCTTATTGCGTCCTTCATGGTAGGACACTTTACCACTCCAGGCCAGTAACACGTACTCGGGAATCATTGTACAACAAAGCATTGCAGTGTATGTTTGCCGGCGTTCAAACAACATCCGTTCTTTATCTCTCTGTGTTATCCTCAGGAGAGTGAGATATAATTCATGGTCACCTGGTTGAAATAGAGTGCTTTTCTTCAGGGGACACTCAGAGGAGCCCATTCCTGCTGGGCTGTTTGCCTGTGGCTAAACAGAAATGTTCCCCACTGTTAGCCACAGGGAGGGGGGAGGGTTGAGGGGGTAGCCACGCAGTGGGGGGAGGCAAAATGCGACCTTGTAACGAAAGCACATGTGCTATGTATGTAATGTTAACAGCAAGGTTTACCCTGAAAGAGTGTAGCCACTGTTTTATAAAATGTGTCTCTTTAAATACCGCTGTCCCTTTTTTTTTCCTCCACCAGCTGCATGTGTTTCAATGATCACAGGATCTTCTCCTTCCCAGAGGCTAGTGAAGCTTAGAAAGAAAAAAAAACGCACTCGAGATGAAATGTTCTCAGAGCTCATGCTGTCCTCCCGCACTGACAGAGCACAGACGAATGTGTGGAGGCAAATAATGTCAGAGTGCAGGAAAGCACAAAATGACCGGGAGGAGAGGTGGCGGGCTGAAGAGAGTAAGTGGCGGGCTGAAGAGAGGGCTGAAGCTCAAATGTGGCGGCAGCGTGATGAGAGGAGGCAGGATTCAATGCTGAGGCTGCTGGAGGACGAAATCAGTATGCTCCAGTGTATGGTTCAGCTGCAGCAAAGGCAGCTGGAGAACAGACTGCCACTACAGCCCCTGTGTAACCAACCGCCCTCCTCCCCAAGTTCCATAGCCTCCACACCCAGACGCCCAAGAATGCGGTGGGGGGGCCACCGGCCAACCAGCCACTCCGCCACAGAGGATTGCCCAAAAAAAAGAAGGCTGGCATTCAATAAATTTTAAAGTTGTAAACTTTTAAAGTGCTGTGTAGCATTTTCCTTCCCTCCTCCACCACCCCTCCTAGGCTACCTTGGTAGTCATCCCCCTGTTTGTGTGATGAATGAATAAAGAATGCATGAATGTGAAGCAACAATGACTTTATTGCCTCTGCAAGCGGTGATCGAAGGGAGGAGGGGAGGGTGGTTAGCTTACAGGGAAGTAGAGTGAACAAAGGGGCGGGGGGTTTCATCAAGGAGAAACAAACAGAACTTTCACACTGTAGCCTGGCCAGTCATGAAACTGGTTTTCAAAGCTTCTCTGATGCGTACCGCGCCCTCCTGTGCTCTTCTAACCGCCCTGGTGTCTGGCTGCGCCTAACCAGCAGCCAGGCGATTTGCCTCAACCTCCCACCCCGCCATAAACGTCTCCCCCTTACTCTCACAGATATTGTGGAGCACACAGCAAGCAGTAATAACAGTGGGAATATTGGTTTCGCTGAGGTCTAAGCGAGTCAGTAAACTGCGCCAGCGCGCCTTTAAACGTCCAAATGCACATTCTACCACCATTCTGCACTTGCTCAGCCTGTAGTTGAACAGCTCCTGACTACTGTCCAGGCTGCCTGTGTACGGCTTCATGAGCCATGGCATTAAGGGGTAGGCTGGGTCCCCAAGGATACATATAGGCATTTCAGCATCCCCAACAGTTATTTTCTGGTCTGGGAATAAAGTCCCTTCCTGCAGCTTTTGAAACAGACCAGAGTTCCTGAAGATGCGAGCGTCATGTACCTTTCCCGGCCATCCCACGTTGATGTTGGTGAAACGTCCCTTGTGATCCACCAGTGCTTGCAGCACTATCGAAAAGTACCCCTTGCGGTTTATGTACTCGGGGGCTTGGTGCTCCGGTGTCAAGATAGGGATATGGGTTCCGTCTATGGCCCCACCACAGTTAGGGAATCCCATTGCAGCAAAGCCATCCACTATGACCTGCACATTTCCCAGGGTCACTACCCTTGATATCAGCAGATCTTTGATTGTGTGGGCTACTTGCATCACAGCAGCCCCGACAGTAGATTTGCCCACTCCAAATTGATTCCCAACTGACCAGTAGCTGTCTGGCGTTGCAAGCTTCCACAGGGCTATCGCCACTCGCTTCTCAACTGTGAGGGCTGCTCTCATCTTGGTATTCATGTGCCTCAGGGCAGGGGAAAGCAAGTCAAAGTTCCATGAAAGTGCCCTTACGCATGCGAAAGTTTCGCAGCCACTGGGAATCGTCCCAGACCTGCAACACTATGCGGTCCCACCAGTCTGTGCTTGTTTCCCGAGCCCAGAATCGGCGTTCCACAGCATGAACCTGCCCCATTAGCACCATGATGCATGCATTGGCAGGGCCCATGCTTTCAGAGAAATCTGTGTCCATGTCCTGATCACTCACGTGACCGCGCTGACGTCGCCTCCTCGCCCGGTATTGCTTTGCCAGGTTCTGGTGCTGCATATACTGCTGGATAATGCGTGTGGTGGTTAATGTGCTCCTAATTGCCAAAGTGAGCTGAGCAGCCTCCATGCTTGCCTTGGTATGGCGTCCGCACAGAAAAAAGGCGCGGAACGATTGTCTGCCGTTGCTCTGACGGAGGGAGGGGCGACTGACGACACGGCTTACAGGGTTGGCTTCAGGGAGCTAAAATCAACAAAGGGGGTGGCTTTACATCAAGGAGTATTTCAGGCAGGACTTCACGGAGGGTTCCAACAAGAAATGGTGCACCTAAGTTATTGTTCTTATTGGAACAAGGAGGTTAGCCTGGCCTCTGATTGATACATGGCTAGATTTACCTCGCTGCACCTTCTCTGTGAGTGACTGCAATGTGACCTAGAGGAATGAGTCCCCTAGACAGCGGAGGGGGGGAAGCAAATGAGTACAAAACAAATCTGGTCTATTTCTTGTTTTGATCCACTCCATCTATCTTTTACATCTTTGGCTGGCAGCAGACGGTGCAGAAGGACTGCATGCCATCCACATCTCATGGCTGCTCGGCAGAAGATGGTACAGTACGACTGCTAGCCATCCTCATCTCTTGCCTGCCCGGCAGAAGATGGTACAGTACGACTGCTAGCAATCCGTATCGCCTGCCTGCTCACCATAAGACAGTTCAATAGGACTGACTGCAGGACTAAAGAGAATGACCTGGTCAAGTCACTCCAAATTTAGTCCCTGCGCCCATGTCTGCCCAGGTGCTCCCAGCCGACGTGGCCAGGAGCACCTCGGACACGATGAGAACGGCTACCAGTCGTACTGCACCGTCTGCTGCCAGAAGGCAATGGGTTGCTGCTACTGTGTAGCAATGCCGTACCGCGTCTGCCAGCACCCAGGAGACATACGGTGACGGTTACCTGAGCAGGCTCCATGCTTGCCGTGGTATGGCGTCTGCACAGGTAACTCAGGAAAAAAGGCGCGAAACGATTGTCTGCCCTTGCTTTCACGGAGGGAGGGAGGGAAGGGGGGCCTGATGATATGTACCCAGAACCACCCGCAACAATGTTCTAGCCCCATCAGACATTGGGATCTCAACCCAGAATTCCAATGGGCAGCGGAGACTGCGGGAACTGTGGGATAGCTATCCACAGTGCAACGCTCCGGAAGTCGACTCTAGCCTTGGTACTGTGGAAGCACTCCGCCGAGTTAATGCACTTAATGCACTTAGAGCATTTTCTGTGGAGACACACACACTCGAATATATAAAACCGATTTCTAAAAAAACGACTTCTATAAATTCGACCTTATTCCGTAGTGTAGACATACCCCAAGTTAGGAACACGTTGGGAATGGAGGTTGTTCATAACTCTGAAATGTTTGTAACTCTGAATAAAACGTTATGATTATTCTTTCCAAAGTTTACAACTGAACATTGACTTAATACATCTTTGAAACTTTACTATGCAGAAGAAAAATGCTGCTTTTCCTTTATTTTTTAGTAGTTTACATTTAACACAGTACTGTCCTGTATTTGCTTTTATTTTATTTCTTTCTCTCTCTGCGCTGCTGCCTGATTGTGCATTTCCAGTTCCAAATGAGGTGTGTGGTTGACCAGTCAGTTGGTAACTCTGGTGTTCGTAACTCTGAGGTTCTACTGTATTGGAAACAGTCAATAGACATGAAGCTTTGAGTCTGTGCAAACTATGGAATGTTCGATTTAAGAGATCAAAGATTCACTGTTATTTAGTTTATACAGCAACTAGAAATAAAAAATAGCTTAGGGCTAAATCCTGCCTTCTCTGCACTCAGAGAGCCTTAGATACAGTGGCTGAGCTTCTGTGCAAAGTGGACAAGGACTTGCGGACCTGATGCATGCGGGGTTACACCTTCTGCAGACTGCCAAGCCTAGTACTACAGTGTTTGAGGCAGGCCAGGGTATCTGCCATTAAAGGTATCCTCAAGGGAAAACTAATTAAGCAACTCTACAGCCTCTCCACAGCTAAAACCAAAGTAACTACTCAGACTAAGCACAAGGGGAGTTGGAGCAGATTTGGGGTGAAATTCTGGCCCCTGAAGTCAATGGCAGAACTCCCACTGATTTTCGTAGGGCCAGGTTTCACCCATGGACTGTATTATTAACTTTTATTTTAAATGGATCTGAAGCACAAAAATCATTCCATTTAAAATGAGTTATTTTTCTAACACATAACTTATGTACCATTGTTCATGAATAGCTGGGAAAAAAATGACATTTTTCTCAATGTTAAACATACTAGAAATTCAAATGTCCTGTCTGGTTACAAAACATTTTCATCTTGCCCCCACAAATAAATATCTACTTTTGTAACATGATCCACTGGAAATACTAGTATGATTAGAATTTTGTTGAACCACAGACAAAAGACAAGGTAAAATAACAGAGGGGCCGGCTATTAGTACATTAGATCCAAAACTAGTTTTACAATGTCAGCTCAAAAAGGAGAATTCATTAGCTTCTAGGCACACTCAAGTTACTGTTTATCTATACTAAACATGTCAGTTTTGAGAATATAACACTAAGAACTGAAACACCTGAGCTACTTTGGGCTCTTGTAATCCCTCAGATCAGATAACTCATGCCTTCTGAGTTTAGCAAATAGAAAACATGATCCCTAGTAGTGATTATGGAATCAGCCATGACTGCAATCAATCTAGCACATTTAAGATAAATTTGATTTGAGAAATATACATTTAACTTTGTGCATGCCATATATAAAACAGATCAAGGACAGAGGTTATTTTCTCAAATAATGATGCAATGTATAATAATTAAACAAAAGTGATGCTCCCAATGACACCACATATTTTAAATGTCATCTCTGTGCTGTATGAAAGAATTAATCAAACTTCCCACACTTTTACTGAGCCATAAAATATCAATAAAATACCTCGCCCATCAGATCATCTCCAGCAACAACAGCTATTTTCAAATCAACATCAGCTTTCTTTGCCACCTCTTGAAGACCAGCAGCACACGCAAGTGGATTCATTCCACCAGCATTACTAATGACACGAACCCCTTAACAGAACAAAAAGTTCAGTGTTAAAACCACCAGTTATACTACAAAAAAGGCTTAACACCTGAGCCCCAGGATGCACTGTTGCATGTTGTCAAGCACATGATCAATCAGAACAATACACCAAATGTTGTGCTTTCTTATCAAGTCAACAGATAAACAATAGTTGTGACTGGTACAACTCTCAAACCTAATAATAATTTAAACATCTACACTGTTCACTACTTCACTGAAGACTCTTGGGCAAAAACATACAGCTATTCTAACATTGCAGGCATAATCTGGAATTGTGAGAGGATTTTAGGGAGATTATCCACAAATCTGACTTCTAAGGAGTTGTGAAGAATATCAGTATGGCTGCATACTATTAGCATAAACCTTCTATTAGCATAAATCAGTATGTCTCTTCGACCAACAGAAGTTGGTCCAGTAAAAGATATTACTTCACCCACTTTATCTCTCTATTAATATAAACAGATAGATTGTCAGGAATTTTTAATGACATGTTTTTTCATTGGAAAATGCTGATCAGAAGCAAAACTGTTCAAAGGAAAGGGTTTGTTGTGATAGATTTTTGCTTTTAGACAAAATTTTGAAACAAAAGTTTTAAATTGTCTAAACATCCTGTTTTGACACTTTCTAAATGAAAAGGTTGTTTTTCAATTCGAAATGACTTTTCATTTTGAAATGTAATTTATAGTATTAAAAAAGAGAAAAATAAAATGGTTGAAATCAAAACAAAATGTTTCAGAATTATCAAAGTGAAACATTCCAGTTGACCCAATCAATTTTTTTTCCCAGATTTTCTGTTCACTGAAGTTTTCAAGATACTTGCCCAATTCAGGATGGGGAATGTTTTGGATTTTTTTTTTTTTTCAAATTTGAAAATTCCCTAGGATGGGAAAACCATTTCCCACCCCATTCACGAAACAGTTAACATGAAACTGGATAAAAGTACATCTCAAAGAAGACAAGAAAAATGCAGTTTCCCTTTTAAAATAAATGCATAGCTCAATTTATACAGTAGGTAATATATAGTGTATTAGGTATGGGGAAAATGAGAATTCCCTTTGTTGAATGTTTTCATTCAAAACGTAGAAAAAACAGTCAGACTTCCTATATTCAGATTTGAAGTAACAAAGTACACAATGAAGATATGAACACTAAGGATCTGATCTTGTGAAGTTCTGAGCACCCCAACTAATACTGAAGATGATAGTAGTTAAGAGTGATGAGCACTTCAAAGATCAAGCTATAAATTATTAAAGTTATCCAACCCATATTATTCTATAGCATACCTTTCCTGTGAATGTCCTTAATATAGGGACCCATTGCAGTCAACACAAAATCAGGAGTGTAACCCAAATCCTGAAATAATAAGAAGTTATATAATTGACTTGCCAAATCTTGGTCATAGGTAAATCAACTCCTTCTCTTTATTGGCTCTTGGGTTGCAGAAAAGATCGAAAAACAGCGTATACTCATTTTCTTAATTCTATAATTAAAAATGTTGGATTTCTTTTTCTAAAGGAAACCTGTAAAATGTTTCTCTAAAATAAAAAAATTCTTAATTTAACAATATATAGATTAAAATAAATACAACACAAACGGACATCACTATATTTTTACAGGAGTCTAATTATATATTATAAATACCATTATTTTTAATTAGCCTTTGGAATCATACAGGGAACAAATGATCCAATCAATTCTAATTATAAAGTAAAATACTAAATATTGACAATGTACAACAAAACAATTCACAGCTATCCCATTCAAGGAGAAGTTTTATTGAAGCCCTATGAATTGAGACAATGCATTCAAATTTCAAGCCATGTGTGCCTAACTCTCTGCTGGCATAAACTGACGGAACTCCTTTGAAGGCAATGAAGTTTTGCCAGTTTCATTAGCAGATATTTGGCCCATTGTTTTTAACTTTAAATTGAACTCATCCACAATCTAGTGGGACTACTCATGTGACTAAGTCTTTGCAGGATCAAGGCCTACGGACTCAGCCCTGCTCCCACTGAAGATAATGGGAAAACTCCTTTTGAATTCAATAGGCCTGACCTTATGAGGGACTGGCCAACTGCTGAAATAATAAAGGCTAACGATGTTTAGTACCACTCAAGATTGAACCCTTAAATTGATATATGAATGGTGAGGGATCATTTCCTCCTCCACTGAAATGCAGCGATCTCTGGAGCAGCCAAGATCAAGTATTTGAATCTCAAATTTTGTTATAATATGTTTATTAAACTTATGAAGCTATTGTACTATTACTATGTTTATATTAAAGTGCATCTTATTTTCAGACATGACTATAATTTACAGAATAAGAATGAATAATAGAAACTACAGTGACTACTCCTGCAGGCATTCTGCACCAAAAAAATAAAAATTCTGCACACAGTATTTTAAAATTGTATAAAATTCTGCAAATTTTATTTGTCAAATAAACGTGGAGGCTTCAGCATGGCTTTGGGGAGCACAGGCCACTGGCTGCACAGAGGTGGAAGATCACTATGCAGCTACCACCCTGGGACACGGCCTCAGCAATGAGGCTGCACCCAAACCCTGATACAGTTGCAAGGATCGGGCCTGCCCCAGAAATACCCCAGGGTCCTGCCCCTCCATTCCAGGTGAACCAGGTATGAGCAGGCAGGCTCAACAAAGTAGGATCTAAGTGTGGAGGGGCTTAGTGTGGGGGGCTCCAGGTGTGGGTTGAGAGGGTTGTGTGTGGGGCAAGCCGGGTGTGGGCGGCTCAGTGGGGAATCTGGGTGCGGGGGGGGGGAGGGTTCTGGATGCACAGGGGCTTGTTGGAGGGTTCTTGGTGCAATGGTAATGGGACTCTGCAGGGGGATCCAGGGAAGGTGGTTGGGGCTAAGCAGGAGGGAGTCTGGGTGTGGGGCGGATAGAGCTCGGCAGGGGGGTCTGGGTATGGGGAGGCTCAGTGGGGCGTCCAGATGCTGGGGGAGTGGGGCAGAGATCCAGGTGCAGCTGGATGGGGTTTGGTGGGGTGGGGATCCGGGTGGCTTGTTGGGCTGGTCCAGGTGCACGGGAAGTGGAGCTCATCGGGGGTGGGGGGCTCAGGAGGAGGGACTGGGTATGAGAGGGTCTGGATGCACAGGGGTAGAGCAGATGGGGGAGCAGCTCCCTGTACAGGGATCCCTCCCCTTGCAGCTGAGGAGCAATGGGTACAGGAAGCAAGGGGGGGGAGTTTACAGTGCTTCTTGTAGCTGGGGGAGAAATCTGGGGGTGGGTCTGACCCAGCCCCAGAAGCCATGCAGGGGAAGAGGAAGTCCTGTCCTTTTCAGCCTCGCCGGGACTAGCAGTTGAGCCCGGCACAGCGTAGGAGCCACCAGCCAGATCTTCCCCAGTCCCGGCCCCTGCCCCACAATGATTTACCTCTCTGCCGGCTGCCCTGGGCATCCGAAATATACTGCTAGGGAGGGTCGCATGACCGCTCTTGTGGCTTCCCCTTGCTTCCCCGTCAGAAAGCCATTTTTCTGCAGGGAAGCAAAGAAATCTGCAGGGGACATAAATTCTGTGCATACACAGTGGTACAGAATTCCTCCAAGAGTAAATAACACTCTGATCTTCCAGTATGTTGGTATTTCAATTAACAGTATCTTTCTAATAGAGCTATATTGCTGGTATTTCTTAGTCGTAAGATTTTATGTTTAGTCAATCAAATCAGATCTGCCGGCTGTCATCTCACATTAAAATAATCAAGACTAAACGTTTGCACTGTAAGACTATTAACATTTTCCTATGTAAATACTAAGTAACTACTCCTACAGATTCTTATTCATGCAAGTAGTCCCAGGAGCCATTGGCTGGATTGGGCCTGATTTATTTTAAAATTTTAATGTTTGTGTGATAATGCTTTCCAGCCAACTCATCACTCAGCAACTGAGTGATCATCTGCATCACTCAGCAACTTGAAAGATTTGAAGCACTTTTAAAATACTGATCACTTTGTGACGATATTTGAACATTTCAAACAGCTCAAACTGTAAAACGCAGAAAACTAAATCAAACCAGCAATTATACAATTCTTTTGATTCTTTTCTCATGTGAAATTGCTTGAATTATTATTTCATAATTAAAATAATTCTTTCCTTACTGGCGATTTGGCTTTTGCAGCGGTCAACAGAGACATCGTAATTTCAGAAAGATAATCAAAAACCAGAAAATCCAGTTTTCCTCCATAGAGAAGCTGAGGAACTAATCAAAAAGATATTAAGTAACTCTGAGTTGGAAGTCATATTTTAAAATAAAAGCCGTTTCATTTTTGACAAACTAAATCAGAAAAACATACATTACTGCAAAGTATGAGACAATATATTAATGATAGAAAGATCACTTAAGATTTTGGGCCCAATCCTGCAAACAATTTTACTCACTTAACCAATTGGGTTAAAGTCAACGTGTGAGCAAGTCACTCACACCTGCAAGTGCCTGTAATATGGGACACTACATATTTGGTTGTTTGGGGGCTGATGCTTAGTGTTGTGATCACTGTTTTATTTATGTATTGAGGAGGAAGGGGAAACTGTTTTTAAAAAACAAAGAGCCCAAACACAAAACACCACACCATACATCTAGAACTACCTAGGACACAGAAGGAGGGGGGTGAGATGAGGCCCCGTGCTGGCTTTGCCAATGCCACTAGAAATGCTCCTTCCAATCAAGTGGGTCCGACAATTTTCTGAGCTTACGTCTCCCTGGCTGGGGAGTCGCCTGGCCCGCCTCGCCCGGGACGGGAGCTGACGGAGCGCGGGCTCTACGCACTCCCACTCCTGGGGCTGCCTCAGTTTTGCTCCTGCGCCCGGGGGCGAGCGGGGCAAGGCGCGGCGGCGGCTCTCATTCCGCGCGCCGCCCACCCCGCGCTCCCGGGACACACGCGCCCGCCCCGTCCGCTTCCGGTGACGAGAGGCTTGTTTTGCTGGCTTGTCACCCCACCCCAGCGCTCTGGGCGACCCCAGCCGGGAGGCCGTGCGGTGTGTGGCGGCGCGGCGCGCGCTGCGGGGGGCAGGAGCGGCTGCATCTCCCCAGCCCGCTCCCCGGCCCCGCTCCCCCGGTACCTGAGGCCGCCGTGTCTCCCCAGAAGCCCGCGGCGCAGCCCACCCGCACGGCCGCGCCCGCCTGGGGCTCGCAGGAGCCGCCGCCCAGGTTGCTCCAGCGGCGGGAGCTGCTGCTTGTGGCCCGCAGGAGCCGTGGGGCAGCGGCGCCCCTCAGCCCCAGCAGCGCGGCGCAGCTCATGGTGGCTCCGGGCGGCGAGGCAGGGGCGGGAGGCGGAGGCGAAGGGCTGGGCCGTCGCTGACTCAGCCCCGGGCCCGATCCGGCTCCCGACTCCTCCACGCGGCTGGATCGGGCCCGATCGGTGCTGCCCCGTCCCCACCAAGGCCGCGGGGAGCCGGTCCTGGGCTGGCAGCACTGGGGGCCCCGCGAGCTAGTGATAGATTAGCCGTGCCTGCCTCCCTCCCTCCGCGGAAAAGTCACCAGCCAGGCCTCTTCCACCACGTGCGAAAAACAACAACCCACCCGCTGGCTCCTGCTGCGGGTCACCTCGGTAGCCTGTGGGCAAAGAGACAGAACCAGGAGGGTAGGCTTGTTATTGAGCCACCAAAACGCGCTAGGCCCTGTACAGCAATAGCAAGGCAGAGCTACAGCCCCAAGAAGTTTACAATTTTAAAAAGCTGTAGCCAGACAATGATTGGGAAAAGGATGCAAGGGGCAAGCAGAACGAGCAGGGTTGAGATAGGCTCCGAGTTGTTACTTTAAGTGGTGGGAGTGGTGTCTGTATTTAACGTATATGATCCCTCCTACTCCTCTAAAAAGCCTGTACATGAACACACCTGATGCCACAAGGTGATCAGGGAACCATTCTTTGGGGCACAGCTAAACATTTCTCACTGTGAAGAATGAAAGGGAACTAGCCAAAGTCCCCTTTTATTCAGTTAGCTTTACTTTATAATTTTTATGCATGCACAATAGTGTAGTTAAGTTTTTAACATTAAAAATGAATGTTTACTTTAAAAATCTGATTTTTGTCCAATATTAATGTAATATCTGAGCACATAAGTAACATATATCAATTTGTCCTGGCAACAACACTCTGTAAAGTGAAGGTGGGGTAGATCGTTATCCCCGTTTGACAGATGGGAACTGAGGCAGAGAGAAAGTCATTTGCCCAAGGTGACAAAAGAAGCCTGTGGCAAAGATAATAATTGCAGTCAGTGCTCCCAAGTCCTAGTCCAGTGTATTGACCACAAGACCATCCTTAAAACCTACATTTTGATCCTAAACTACTTCACAGTGTCTCTTTAAATCAGGAGCTAATATAACTCACATTCTGTCCTAATTGATTCAAATTAGGGTGGATTGATTTAAATCACCAGGTGAAAATTAAATAAATTTTTATCAGGTTTTCCATTTGTAGGTCAGTTATGTTCTAAAGAAAGGTGCATTCTCATTGCTTGATATAATTATAAAAATATGTTGGTTTACAACATAATAGAGCCTAAACCCTACATTTTGTACATCATTTTGCTATCTAGGAGGGTATGCTATAACTATATATATTTATTTAAGCAATTATACAGCTTAATATTTTCAGATTCTTATTTAATTGTACATGTTTAGTATGTTAGAAAATGGTGAATAATCTATTGTTTATTTACTAGATAATAAACTTTTTGATCATGATTTGTATAAAGCTGCATTAGGATAGCAACTGGAATTTAATTAAACACACAAAACAGCACATAACATTAATTTTTATTAAACAAAACAACCTTAAATGTTTCTGATACATAAACTTCTCTAATCAAAATATGTTTCATATTTACAATGAAATGATTTATTAAATGGGGATTAATTATTTTTTTAATTTGAATCTGATTTTTAATTTTTTTAAATTGTTTTAATTTTTTTAATAGTTATTTTTAAAAAGAAAAACTTATAGTGCAAATAAAATTTAAAAAATCCAATTTAAATAAAACTCTGGCTGCACTTCATAAAACATTTCAGGCCAAGTTCACACATCATGTAATTGGGTACAAGCCTAATGCAGTCAGTGGATTTGCACCTGCTTACATCAGGTCTGAATTTGACCCTTTATTGACGCTCCCTCCACCCGGACTTACACACCCTTTGTATGTAAGCTAATGGAGAAGCTGGCAGAGGGAGGGAGGCGGGGGGAATCTCCAGTGCCATGTATTGACTGCCAGTGTTCTGAATCCTTGTCAATCAGGCATCAGGCAATGACAGTATCCATCAACAGCACTTATAAACAGTACTCATTCTGCTAGACGTGACTGAGTCACTTGATACCACAGTGATTAGGCCTCAACTGGAGTATTGTGTCCAGTTCTGGATGCCACATTTCAGGAAAGATGTGGACAAGTTGCAGAAAGTCCATAGAAGAGCAACAAAAATCATAATCAACTGAGGATAATCATAATAATACATAACACAATCATAATCAGCTGACAGGTTTCAGAGTGGTAGCCATGTTAGTCTATATCAGCAAAAAGAGCGAGGAGTACCAGTGGCACCTTAGAGACTAACAAATTTATTGAAGTGGGTTTTAGCCCACGAAAGCTTATGCCCAGATAAATTTGTTAGTCTCTAGGATGCCACAAGTACTCCTCATTCTTTTTATAATCAGGTGAGGATCTAATAGTGTTCCTCCACTGCAACCTTATTCATGTCTGTGGTTGAGAAATATCCAAGACAAATCTCAGTTACTAGTATAAAACTGTATACATTCGTATACTATGGAAGTACCAGAATAAAATCCTGGCTCCAATTAAATCAATGGCAAAACTCCGATTGACCTCAGTGAGCCTAGGATTTCACACCAAGAAAGTTTATTTCCTGAATTTAAAAGGCACACTACTCAAACTAACTGATGGTGTTGAGTAAAAATAATTTTACTAGGATGGCCAGTAGATGGCTGTGTTGCACCACCTATTACATCCATGATCCTGGCCTAACACTGCAAAATAATTATCTGGTCACAAAAAGAAGTAGGTTTCAGAGGAACAGCCGTGTTAGTCTGTATTCGCAAAAAGAAAAGGAGTACTTGTAATTGGTTAGTCTCTAAGGTGCCACAAGTACTCCTTTTCTTTTTAAAAAGAAGTAGCTTCATCACGCCAATAAATGTCAGTTGTTCGAGTCAACACCAATTGTAATCTGTGATATAACTGGTATATAATCAGGCAAATGTATGTATTGCTTGGCAGAGTTAAGCATAAACATGAATTAACTTACTTTGATGTTCTGCATAGGGGATTCACTTAGATTCCAGAGAGACAGAGGGTGCCTCACTTATTCTTGTAACTGCCCTCAAATACTGTCATACCATAGATTTTTACAGTGATTGTCCACAGGTCTTTTCTAATTGGTTAGGTCTTCTTTTGTCATACCTTATGCATGGGTAGGCCACCTAGAGGTCTGCATGTGCTAAAGCTAAACCAAGCACTTAATCCCTTACAATAGTCTATGAATTCATCTACTTCATTTAACTTGAGTGGAGGGCTGCATTTTTTTTGGTTTTATGGTAATTAAAATTGAGTTTAAAAAGTATATACATTTACAAAGGACAGGCTCTTTTTTTAGAACCAGAAGAAGCGGTGACATAGGATACCTAAATAATAGGGGCAACAAAAGAGTCAGAGGGTGTGGGATATTAAGGGCAGTCATTTGCCAGTTTGCTTAGAGCTGCAGAACTAGAGCCAGCCCTTAGTATTATTATTATTTATTTATTGATGTATTTGTATTCCAGTAGCACCTAAGGCCTTAGCTGAGATCTGGGCCCCACTGTGCTAGATCCGTCTATCTTTGAGTTTTATAGTGCTGCCCATCACTGTAGTATCTGAGTACAAATACATAATAACAGATGCTTTCCTAAAGGGCTTACAATCAAAATAGAAAAGTGAACGCAGTGGGAGGGGAAACAGAGATATAGAGAGGTGAAGTGACTTGCTTAAGGCCACACAGCACGTCTGCGGCAGGGCTAGAAATAAAATATTGGTGTCCTGATTCCCAGCTCAGTACCTATTCACTAGATAGTAGCCCTGCATAAAGAGCTCATTTTGGTGAATCATGCCTTTCGGGTTTGTTTTTTTATGTGAATCACCTAATCCGATGAAGTGAACTGTAGCTCACGAAAGCTTATGCTCAAATAAATTGGTTAGTCTCTAAGGTGCCACAAGTACTCCTTTTCTTTTTGCTAATACAGACTTGAAAAAGTAAAATTGCACATACAGGACATTAGATGGCACTATATGGTTATTACTGAAGTCCAGTAGTGACTGTGTAGTTAAGTTTATGTAGTAATGGTCTGATACATAGGGTTGCTAATAAGATATACGTAGATAGAAATATCTTTATTTCCAAGCCATAGTCACATGAGGGCCAGCTTACAAAAGGTGATAATAACCTGTTATATGCCAGGGACCAGTCACCACTGACTCCGGTGGCTACTGTGACAGTTTATAAAACACTTACTATTCTTAGCCTGATTTTGAACCTCCTCCCCTTTCCCCTAAAATTTGAGAGAGAAAAAAATGCCTTTTGGCCTCACATTTTGCTGGCCTAATGTTTATGTCAGAGAATTCTTTGGGGGAAAAGTCGTTGTTTCAAATTAGGGAACATAAAAGAAACATTTTGTGTGTGTGTGTGTGTTTGAAAATTATTCTAAATTCTCTGTCTACAACACAAAAACAGGTTGACCCTAAAAACTTCAAAATTGTTTTGTAGATTTGTTTCCAGTGACATCTATCACACACAGATTATTGTTCTCTTTTTAGAGTTTTAGAACCAGTTCTGTAATGAGCTTCATACAGACAGACCCCAGCATCACCCCAGAGCCACACTGAAGTCAGTGATAAACAATAAAAGCTCTTTACTAGCAACAGTTAGAACCTCAGAGTTACAAACACCAGAGTTATGAACTGACCGGTCAACCACACACTTCATCTGGAACTGGAAGTATGCAATCAAGCAGCTGCAGAGACCAAAAAAAAAAGAGCAAATATAGTTCAGCACTGTGTTAAAGGTAAACTACTGAAAAAAAGAGGAAAGTTAAAAAAGATTTGACAAGGGTAAGGAAACTATTTCTGTGTTTGTTTCATTTAAATTGAGATGGTTAAAAGCAGCATTTTT